GGTCCCAGTCCCGGTCCCAGTCCCGGTCCCAGTCCCGGTCCCAGTCCCGGCGGGACCGGGACTGGGACCGAGACCGGGACTAAAATTTGACTTTTTACGGGACCGGGACTGGGACCGGGACTGAAAAAAATATTTGACCGGGACTAGGGCCGGGACCGGGACTAAAAATTTTTTACACTGGTCCCGGTCAGTTTTTTATGCAATATATTTTCACATTTATTATTTTGACATGATTAAAGATCGGGCAATCAGATATTTTTATTTGCTATTTCCATAAAAGTCTTTGCTGATTACGAGTCTGTTTGCAAGAATCCGAATTTTCCAATTGCACAGATTTTTGAACACATATGAAACAACCAACACAACACTATATACGTAAATTTAACTCGTTCATTCTTTTATCATTCCTTTATTTAAGTCTTATCAGGTAATAGTAAATAGATATGTGTCGTCGTTTTTTTTTTGACAATAGTAATTGTGACTCAGCATAAATAATCAATTCGATAATAAATCCATTAGGTAGAGCAGTAGATATAAAAGAAGAGAGAAATGAGTAAATGACTTCTACGAAGTAGATGAGAATTTTTAACAAAATTCAATGGTTATTTTTATTTATTTGAGCTTTCAGTGGAATGCTTTCATCATCATCAGAAAAGATAACAAGAGGAAAAGAACACGAGACATACATATATAGTCAGCTGGTTATGACAAGAAAAGAAAGAAAATATATATTCGCGAATATACATTTTCTTTCTTTTCTTTCTTTTCTTGTCATGATCAGCTGACTATATATGTATGTGTCATGTTCTATAACCATTAAATTTTGTTAAAAATTCGATAATAATCTTATATAAACAAACATGGCATCATCGACCATATGTACATATAACAAAGATCAAATTTTAGAGATGATCAATAATAAAAGCTCATCTATTACGCTTCGTAAACCAAAACATGCCAAAAGTGTAAAATGGGGCAATTATCTTCAAATATTTGTTAATGATTCTCCTCAATACTTTATATCATGTATAAAATGTCATTGTGTTTTGGCATGGAAATCAAATGATGGTACTAATGTAATGGACAAACATGACAAAGCATGTAAACAACACCCATTATCGTCATCAACACAACAATCAATCGAATCATTTTATTTACCAAATGATAAATTTAAAAAACAATTAATTAATTCTACAAAACGTAAATTAACGAATGTTCTTGCTGAATGTTGTGCTGTAGATAGTTTACCATTTAGTGTATTTCATGGTGATGGTTTTAAAGAATTAGGTAATAATTTACTTAAAGCTGGTCGTCAATTAGGTACAACAGTTTCGATTGAAGAAGTTATACTTGATCCAACAACGGTAAATTAAAACTATTTCATTTAATATTAAACATTATTTACATCATCATTATTTCTGTAATTTTAGATTAGTAGAGAAATTGATAAAATCTACAATGCTCGTAAAGAACAATTAATTTCATATTTGTCAACTCTTGATCATTTTGTAATAACCGTCGATTTTTGGACGGAGTATCAAACAAAAATCAGTTATGGTGGTGTTACATTACATATATATTCAGAAGAATATGGTCTTTTAGTATTTGTATTAGCTTGTAAACCATTTGATTTACCATCTCAAACTGCTGATAATGTTCGATTATTTACTGATTCAATACTTGAATCATACAATTTACCATTGGATCGTGTAAAGTATGTTGTATGTGACAATGAAAACAAGATGCGTGCATCTTTTCGATATGATATCAATCGAATAGGCTGTTCAGCTCATTTCATTAATAAAATCATTGAACATTCACTTTGTATACCTAATCCTGATTGTGAAGATATTCAACGATTATTTAATAACATACATGATCTTGTAGTTTATTTAAGATCCTCACATAATCAATGTAAATTATCTGTCAAACTTCAGCTTTTCTGCAAAATTAAGTGGAACAGTGCATATACTATGCTCTCTAGTTTTATCAATGTGTATCCTGAATTAAATATGGTTATTAATGATAAAGCTAAAAAATCAACTTTTGCACAAATCGATTTTGATGAATTAATTTCTTTTGCTAAATATTTGAAATATTTTGTTGATGTTACCGAAATGCTAAGTGCAGAGAAAACACTAACAATTCATTTAGTTTTACCACTTAAACAACGTCTTATAAATATATCGAAACCAAATCCTACTGATTCAGAATCAATCATAAAGTTTAAAAAATATTTTGAAAATAAAATTCCATCATACTGGGAAACCGATGATATACATTTTATTGGTACTGTTCTTCATCCAAAATTTAAACACTTACAAATATTGTCAAATAAAGATAAAAAAAAAGGCTTATGAATTAATAAAAAAAGAAATTAATAAACGAAATAGTAAGCAATATTTACTATTTGATGATAGAATAAAATTAATTTATCGATAAGACTATATTATATATATATCTGTTTTGTATGTTTCAGGTCCTCAGTCAGATTTATCAGTTAATTCTAAAGCTCCATCAGCACAATCAACAGTAATCTCATCAACTGATACAAACGATCTTTTATCTGAATGTTATGACCAAATTTCTACAATTCCAAAAGCATCTGATACTGATGATGAATTAAAACGATATTTACAATCTATCGACAGTTTAATTGATAATGAAGATTTATTTGATTTTTGGAGAAGACAAAAATTTGTATATCCAGTTCTTTATTCAATTGCACGTGATATACTTATTGTTCCAGCTACTAATACTGCAGCTGAACGTTTATTTTCAGCTAGTGGTAATACAGTAACTGAAACTCGAAATCGTTTATCATCACAAAAACTTGATAAATTGATGTTTATTAAGAAGAACGTAGCAATTTTAAAAAACATTTTTGGTAAAACTGCAACGTCAAATAATCTTGATTTTAGTGTTGATTCAACTGCTCAAAAAGGTGAAAAACGTTTACATGAACACTTACTCGATGCTGATAATAACGATATTGATAATCTTAGTAATTCTCGTGATGATGAAGAATAGTAAGAGACAATTATGCTATACAATAAACTAACGGTGTAATGTCATTTCATGTACATGTTTTCGTCATTGTTTTACTATTTGTAATTTGAACTCTTTAGTTTTGTTATTGTACTTGGCTACATTTGAGAACGAACTTTAATACTTGTTGAATATGAATAATAAATATACAAACTCAGACTCAGTCTTGTGAAAAATCATTTCAAGACTTGTTCAAAAAATACCCGTTTCAGTTCTTTCGATCTGTATTTTGACATATGAAACTGATTCTTGAAGTAACATCGACTCAAAGACACTTGTATCGATTTTGTATACATTCAAGAGTTACAATTTCTGAGAGAATTTTCTTAGTCACATAATCGGAACAAAAAGCTTATGGTTGGGAAAAAGCCCATGGCGTATGCGTATATCTGTAGCTTTAACACTGGATATAAAAGAATTCTCGTACTGTTAACGAATCAAAATCATTCATGTCAATTTTATGTATTCATAAAAGTACACAGATCGTAGAAAAAGTTGCTCGATTTTAGAAATGAAGCCATTGTCAAAGGCCGGGACCGGGACCGGGACAGGGACTGAGAAAAAAATTGACCGGGACCGGGACTAAAAAAAAAATATTTGACCGGGACCGGGACCAGGACCGGAACCGGGACTAAAAAAAGCGATTTTGCAGATCCCTACTTATTACAACGACAAAAGTGTGACACTGCAGAATGTTGAGAAATCAAGTAAGATTCTATCAGAAATTCTTCCCAACAATCATCTCCATATTGGGCATCTTCACGGAATTCTTTCAAGTATGTACAGGGAAGAGAACGATACACTGAACGCAAAAGAGCATTTTCAGAAAGAGTTAAACGCATATAGTAAACACTATCTCCATCAACAACTCCACCAAATTACAAATGATGATGACGATTTTGTGGTACTTACAACTTTCTTGGAAAATTTTCTATATGGACTAAAACTGAGACGCGAAGGTAGCACAATTCTTGTCACGAATTATTCAATTTTGGGCGCTGCGTTTCTTCAAAAATGTGACTATGATAAATCTCTAAAAAATTACAACCGGGCACTTGATATTTGTTTACAGTATGGTCTGGAGAAGAATATTCCCGACTGTATTAACTTGTATTTCAGCATAGCACAAATATATGATAGAAAGGGCAATGGCGCTGAATGTTTAAAAAATATTCAGCAAGCATTTGCTTTACGACAAAGAACAGGAGGTGGTCAAGAGTATTATTTTACAGTTACAGAGATTTATGAAAAATTAATTAAATTCAAAACCAGTAACATACATAATATGGCAATTAGACAATGTGAACCAGAGACCGTCACAGGGCACTTTTTTTGTGCCCTGTCCTGCCCTTTGCCCTGTTATGCCTTGCCCTGCTCTGCCCTGGACGATAAAACATAAAATATTTTTTGCCCTGCCCTGCCCTCAGGGCAGGGCAGTACAGGACAGGGCGCCCTGAGGGCCTTTAAATTGAATCTCAACTATAGGATGAATTTATAACATGATGAATAAATCTAATGGGTTTTGTGTTCATTATATATGCCTTGTTTAAGTCATTTCAACAGAATATTATCTATACGTAGAAACAATCAAAAGTTCGTTTAAATTCTATGAAAACGATACTGTTTTTATATAATTATAATCCTGCTGAGATGCTATGTTTGTCTTTTTAAATTGTCAAGATTATTTTCAAATTTCTCTAGCCGATTAAGATAGAATAACTAATTTAAAAAAATAAAAATTGATAAATATTTTTCATTAATGAGAAAAAATTTTGAAATCTTATCAGTGAAAGAAAACGAAATAATTGATCAAAAGTTACACGATAATCGAGGGAAAATGATGTCATTTGAGTTTATTCTTTGTAAAAAAAAATAACTGGCTTTAATCCAGTATCTTCACTTCTCTTGTACGGATCCAAAGAATAAGCAGGATGACTGCAGAAAAATCAGATATTTATCAATGAACTTAGAGATTGTGATTGACTGAACGCTATCATTTTACCGATTTGCAGATTTTCATCGCTACTTACCAAGAGGTTGCGATTTATTTTCTATGTGTTCTAAATACTTTTGATGTGATAACCGTGGTTAAACTTTTCTGAAGTGGGGAGAACTGTATTGTACAATGATAAATTAGAATGAGTATCAAATTCATTAGTTCTGATGAAACCAACTGAAAAGACAGATTCATCAATGGTTGATGGATGTTGATGGAATTCCATCGATAATAGATGCTTTGAAAGATTCCATTTAGCTTCGAAAAAGGCTTCCAAATAAACTTATGTGAAAAATTAACAGGGCAAAAAAAATTTGCCCTGTCCTGCCCTGTACTTTTCTTCGGTCGCCCTGCAGGGCAAACAGGACAGGGCAAAAAAAGAAGTTTGACCTGAAGTACAGGGCAGGGCAGTACAGGGCATCAGGGCAACAGGGCAGCCCTGACCTGATGACGGTCTCTGATGTGAACATATGTTACAACTATTTTTGAAATATTTACCCTCAGATCACTTAGCCATAGCGATGCTGTACGGAAATCTGGGAATCATTAATGAGTATAAAAAGAATTATTGTCAATCATTAGATTATCATAAAAAAGCATTGACGATTCGGCTACGACATCTTTCCGCTAACCATTCATGGATTGGTGCTAATTATAATAGTCTTGGAAACGTTTACTACTTAATGGGAGATTATTCCATGGCATATGAAATGTACAGCAAAGCTCTAAATATTCTGTCTCAAAACCTACCTCCCACCCATTTATGTCTAGGAAAAATTCTAGAAAGCATAGCAATGATACGTCTAAAGCAACGAAATTATAGAGACGCCATAAATAACTATGAAAAGGCTTTACATATATTCCGACAATATCTTCCTGATGAACATCCAGATATTATCAGTATCAAAGATTTTATTGCTGTCAGCACTGAAGCTCAATTATATTATGACCCAAGTGTCAAACGTCTGCGATGTCTGATTTCACGCTCAGTAGATCACGAGAATTGGCAAGGAGTGATTCCTAGAACAGGACTGGTATTTGAATGCAACTCTGATTCTGATTCAGATTCTGACTCCGATTTTAATGCTGATTATAAATTCCAAACATCGTTAGGAGACGAACAGCCAAACAATATGGCCGAGCAGTCGGATCATGCTATTGTACGATCAAACGCATTCACTTATAAAAACCGATGTCTTCCGAAACGGGTGCTCGTGCACAGTCTTGGAAATCTAGTAAGACAAAACAATGTTGATATACGGAACAAAGATCCATCAAAAAAAGAAACATCCGAAAGAATTAATAATGACTTTTGAAATTTGTGAAGTGTCAACCAAAATATTTTTTGTTGAATAAATGAGAAAGTTTCAATTTCTCTTTCTGACTAATACGGTCCGAACAATTAAAAGTATGTCTTGAGGGTAGGTTCATATTAAGTTTTATTCTAATAATATAAGATGAAGTTATAACGTGCTATTACACAGGAACACACTATGTGACTTGCAGTAACTAATAATGTGCACCAATACAATATAGAACAAACACATTAAGAGAACGGAGCAGAAAAAAGGAAGGTAGTATATGCAACACCAGAGTAAAGTTCATGCTGCATAAAATAGATGATACAACACACATAAAAGTAATTAATGAAAGCTGATTATACTTAGGTCTGACCAAAAGTTCTGAGATCTTTAAATAAAAATATAAAGATAAGGAGATATTTTTAATTTCATTTTATCAAATGTTGAGGATAGCTGCCATGATTATTTATATCAAGTTCAATTCTTTCCAACAATTTACTAAAAGTTTTTTTGAACTGTTTTTCGAAAAAAATTTTGGCTACCTTGGATACCGCATGAGCTAATCATGTTTCATTTATTTTAAAATTTTAGCGAAGATATCACAAATGAATTTATCTTTTTACATGGATTATAGTCAATCATTGAAAAATGAAAACAAGATTAGATTAGCTTATAGTGTCATGTTGCTTTTTCTTTAATGTTTTTTCATCGGTTGTTATTTTAATAGAATGTTGAATTCATCAGTAGCGAACATGAACTTAATATGAGATAACAACTAAAAGGTTTTGTGATAAGCCAAAGTTCACTCGGTCTCATTTCAAATTCAAAGATACTCATGGATCTTATTTCTCCAAGTAAAGAGCAAAACTATGCATTGTTTTATTCTCTTTTTTTGTTTTCTGATTCATTGCAATGTAAATCAACACCATATTACTTCTGTTTACTTCCTTGTTGTTATATTTGGCTTTTGTATGACGCAAGAAATTAGTAAAAAACGGAAGTTTATTGAAATATAAAAGGTAAACAAATCACAGCTATTTCTATACAACATTATCTTCGTCTATTCCATATTGAAGCATTATAACGGACTTTCGAAAGTAAGTAGCCATGTTTTGTTTGCTTTGAGATGACTCTCCATTCCATTGAATTATGTCTGGAGGAAGATTTATTTAATATTCTATTTTGATCAACAAAATCTGTTCGTTGGAAAAAGCAAATGTACATGATATCTCTAGAAAAAAAAAGCTTATAGAAACAAAAGTAGAGGAAGATCTAGAATCATGTTTCTTGGCTTAAACTCCATCTGATTTCCGTTTATAAATGTTGCACCATTTTCTTTCACCATTATCGATACACTGCTAAATAGAGTCTGTTGAGTTACATAGCAAGAGTATGTTTTGAATTTTTTAAGAAACTTACCGAAAAAGGTTTGTGAAAACTGTGAGGATTTGTTTTCTTTCCTAAATTTTACTTTTGGAAACAACGCCGATCAGTTAGTTTTTCATTCACATTTTCTTATTCTAGATAGAATACGAGGGTATGAATATGCGTTTAATTACATTTATCTATGAAATGATCCAAAAGTTTGACTTTCAGAGCAGTGATAAGAAGATATCGATTACACATTTTGGAAACCTATTTATTTCTTTTTCTCATGATAAACTTAATTCAGTTGAGCACTTGGT